TATTTTGATGAAGTAACAGTACTTGTGATCTCATATTTATTGTCTTAATGAAGTTACTATTAAATTTCTTGTTGTCTTAAAAATATTTGCGTACAAAATTTTGCTGTAAAAAGTCACAGGTAATTGCAATAAAATAAAAATTAATGTAAAAAAAAAAAATTGACATTTGCAACGGTCAAAAAACGTTGCTAAAAGAGAAGAGAGAAGAAAGGGCAACGGTCGCTGGACGTTGCAAAAAGGGTCAATTGCTAATGAACGTTGCAATTGACATTTTTTACAACGTTCAGAGACCGTTGCAATTGACCCTTTTTGCAACGTTCACAGAACGTTGCAATTGACCCTTTTTGCAACGTTCGGTGAACGTTGCAATTGACATTTCTTTCAACGTTCACGGAACGTTGCAATTGACCCTTTTTGCAACGGTCATCGACCGTTGCAAATGACTGAGACTCTACGGCAACATCACATCTAACAACAGACGCGCGACCGTTGCTAAAGGTTATTGGCAACGTTTTTTGCCCGTTGCAAAAGGTAATTTTTGGTGTAGTGTATATATTAAAACAGTAAGCCGGCACAGCGCCATAGTACTACTTTTTAGTTTTGTCTCCTATTCCATTTTTAATGTTGTTTCTTGCATTCTACTTCTACTACAACTCTACTATTAGGGTTCGAACATTTCATATTTGTCCCGTATATATAGTTAACTCTTCATTATTATTTAGTAAGAAGTTAGAAATATTGTAAATACAAATATTTTTATTCTTTTTCCATATCGTAATAAAATCCCAATTCCTTGCAAATTATTTTGTTCTTATAATTAATTACTCCATATCATGTCCATAATCTCGTATCGTGTGTAACAAATTGGTATCGGAGTTATCCGGTATCTTCCACTTTTCTCAACATTTATTATTAAATTCTATTAGAGAAGCAATTAGTTGACAATTTTATTCTTAATTCAATTCACATAATTTTATTTTATTTTATCTTTTTAAAAGAAAGCCATGACAATATTTGAAATGGGGATTTTAATGTCTACTTTATATTGGAATCATCAAGGATCCATTATTTTTAATGTCTATCAATGATCAATCCACGTTAATTTCCATTATATTGTATTGTTTATCAATGATCAATCGATGCTAGTTTCATTCATGTAAAAAAGTGATTAACATTGAAAATAACAGAAAAATAGAATTGTTGATTACCCGATTGATATTATCAAATATGAATGGAAATGTTAGTGATATTATTGAAAAAATTTAACATGGGCAATCCAATTAAAGCATTCACGAAAGTTCAGATACCAAAATTAAAATTAACCCTAAATTTAATAGTTAAGGTCCTCTACCTTTAGTCCTTCACATCCTACACTAGCATTACGTTAAAAAAAAGTAGAATCCGTGCATCGCACGGGCCAAAGATAGTATATATAGAAGTGAGATTACCTTTTGAAGTCATTCAAAGATCAATTCAATAAAATATTCATTTTCGTAAGATTTTAATTGCATTTTTGTCAATTTGCAGCTTTTAATTTTCATAGAAAGATAAGAACAATACGACCAGCATTTTGACATGAAAACAAGAAATATCCTTGTTAACAACTAATTATTTTGTAAATTCTTCACAAGGGGAATTTCCTAAGATAAATATCCCACCGATTCCTAAGCAATTTCTTAAGATACCACGTCAAAATTTGTCACGTTATGATCAAGAAATTTCCTATATTAAGAATGATTTGTGCGTCCAACTACCCTCCCCCTTGGTTCTTCTGCAGAAACCCAGAAAAATGGGAGTTTCAGTAAGAGATAATGATCTTCTAAAGCTGGTGCATCCTGGCCGGTACGTCGAGATCTATCGAGAGCCGGTGATTGCAGCCGACATCATGACGAAGTACCCCAGACACTGCATTGCAAGGCCTGATGTGTTTCAGTTTCCTTGGATTTCTGTACGCCCCGAATCAGTTTTAGTACCAGGGAAAGTGTTTTATCTCGTACCTTTTAGTACCATGCACAAATTGCTGGAGTCTAAAAAACCGCAGCATGATCAGAATTCTTCGGGAAGAAATCAATCAGATCATGATCATAGTCATCGTCATCCTCTTCATCGTCGTCATAATCCTCGTCGTCATCATGATTACGACCAGACTTCTCCGATCAAATCAATGGCTGGAGTGACTCCAAAGCATCTACCGCATGACAGATACAACTTTAGACAGTTTGATAATAAGAACTCTCATGATCATCAGGACCAAGATTTTGATGGGAGTTTGTACAGGTCATCCTTCTATGAATCATGGAATAGTGCTCGTGAGATTTTGAACCATGACAAAACTGATTATCAGATTGATTCGTTATTCGACAGTGTCATGACGAGAAATGGGCGTCTGCGAGTAACGACCCCAGAGCGTGACGCTCTGCAGCTGAGATCCTGCATGAGGAAGCCGGATAGTGTTCGGAAGTTGCTAGAGTTGAAGGTAACTTTTGCATCTCCGATTATCATTCCAAGTACTCCAAGAGAGTCCCCAAGACTTCAGCACCATTTTATGACTTCTTAGAAAGATACTATAAGATGCCAGCTAAGGCTCTTTTTTTCCCTTTTTTTTTTTTTCCGTCTTCTTCCTTTTTATTTATAATATTTTCGGGGGTGGCTTGGGGTGGGGGGGAAGGAAACTCTTGTACTTGTCAAAGTATAATGTTTCAGAGTTTTGTTGTTAAAATGTTTAAGGAAAGATATGGTTTAATGGTTTGAACTAATTCTTCTATTTTATTTTAGAAATTTGAACACTAATTTTTGGTTGCTAATGACTTCGTTGTAATAAATTTTCTAGTAAAAATGGTAATAGAGAACAAAATGATGTAGTCGATACTAATTTGGTGTAAAAAGGAACAAGATGCTAAACCAAAAAAACCTATGCAAGCTAGCTCCAAAGGATCTACTTGATAGCCATAGGAAAACTCGTAAATTTCATCAATAGAAGATGTTAGGTCTACACTGTTGACAAGTCCAAAATATTATTTAATCGAGTTATAATTAGGGTCAAGGTGTCAGGTGTTGGGAGTGCCACATGTTGAGACCCATTTTTGCATAGAAAATATACGAATTGGAAAAATAATATTTCTAAAATAATTGTATCCATTTGAGTTATCTTTTCAATGCATCTTGAATCACTTCAATCACATATCGTGAGAGAAGATATGATAAAAATATTGACGATTGTTTAGAGAGAGCTTGATGTCCGCTCAAAGGTGCTCGAGCGATTTTAACGGACTTAAGATCAATTACATAATCCATAATTCTCTTGACTCAACCACAATATCAAAACACTAAAATACCAAAATATCAAACATCAACAAAATCCTTTACCAAATAGCCTTCAAAGTTCTAACGATTTGGAGAGCTGATTGGAGTTCCAATTTGTGAAGAACAAGTTCATTTTTGGTGATCCACAATGTGAAAAGAAGTTAAGAGGTTCTGGAGTTTGTGCTAGAATGCACAATCGATGAGTTCTTCAGTGATTACAGGTTAGAGGTCAAAGTCTACTAAAGTTTAGTTGTGTCTGAATCAATTATGTAAGTCAAATCTTTTCTAGTGAATCTTTTACCGGCAAGGAGTGCTCGGATATTTTTTTTTTCTCTTGAAGAGTTCTTCAAATGTTTTTCATTCATAACCAAATCTTGTTGTTCTTTATTTTCTAGCCTTTTATATTATTGCTTGTTAGTTTGTTAGAGATTAGATTTCTTAACAATACATCTACAAACAATAATTTGAGACTTATTTCGTGTTATTGTTTGTTAAGTTTTAATTTCGCATATTACACATATGTATCCCCTTTAGGTGTTAGTTGGGTCAAATTTTGTTTATTGTAATTGGTATTAGAGCTTTATTTCGATTCTTGACCTAAGATTATTCAGATGAGTCAGTCATTATCCGTTTTTCTATGTATTTTGATGGAAACAACTATGCTTACTAGAAGGTTAAGATAAGAAATTTTTTAAAAAAATCTATCGATAAGAGAGTTTAGGTTAGGAATGGCAACGGGGCGGGTTCGAGGCGGGGCGCCCCTACCCCG